ATATTATTTACAAACTGTTTGGCCGTGGCAGGCTTCTTGCTAACTGTTCTTATATCTTAAATTAACTCATTTCTATTAATTTATAAGTTGCCATGTGGGTTGTGGCTTACCATTATCTTAACATCCGCTTCTCATCATGGAGACTGGCAGGGTCTCTGCCTTAGCCTTCCACTTCCCAGAATTCTCTTCTCTGCTTGTCCCGCCTATACTTCCTGCCTGGCTACTGGCCAATCAGCATTTTATTTATACAGAGTGATATTCACAGCACTTCCCCGTTTCTTTTTTTTTTCAGAAGGGAAGATTTTAACTTTCACATAGTAAAATTACATATAACAAAACAATTAACAAACAAGAATTACAGTTGCAATATTTAGTCTATTTATAATATCTAGTCTATTTGTATTTGGCAAAATTGAAGATATCCTATCTAATATTTCTGAGTCTAAGGTTTTATATCTAACTTATCTCTTATCATAACTAAGGAAATTATAACTATCTAGTCTTCAACTACATCAAAGACCCCAGAAGGATATAGTATTACCTGAGAAAGGGGAGAAAAGGGAGACGCAAGCAACTTTCGGGAGTCTTTCGAGAGTAGACAGACAGCTGGCAGCCTGGACTGTCATCCAAAGTTCCTCTGTAAAGTTGGGGCATCTGTCTTCAGCCCACAGGCCTAGAGTCTCTTAGTCACTTTTTTCTGTGTCCTGTAGAGTGTCTGGCAATTTCTTCTGCGAAGCAGGAACCTGAAGGACCATTTTGCCAAGCAAAGTTCAGTGGTCACCTTCCTATGGGTCCTGCATGTCCAGTCGATCAAGCAGTCCAGGCAAGAACAGTTCCTTGCCCAAATGGCTATTGTTGCCAAGGTGAAGATAAATTCCATATAGAGTGTCTTCGATGCCCATCCTCCTCTCTGAAGTAAATCGGTGTTGCCAGGAGCAGACATGTCTCATTGTCCAGAAAGTCTAAATTTTTAAAACATTTTTAATGCCATATTCTGTAGGTCTTTGAAGTATTTGAAGATTACCTACCTAATTGAATTATATCTATGTATACCTAGAAAACAGCATGACTATAAGTTTGACTATCATAGAAGACTAATTATTAATCTGTATTTCTTAATTATCCATTGCAATCTAAATGAGTTACATAAACATAATACCTCAAAGGAGAATAGAAATATATATGCAGTATAACAAAATGAACTTTAAATTTGTATCAATTGACTAAAATCCATAGCAATGTAAAACATTTTTAAACAAGTTGTTGCTCTTTAAAAGTAGGTTCAACAATCTACCCTTTTATCCTATCGTATCTATATCCTATATATCTATATCATATCCTCCTTTATTCTTTTAGAAAGATATTATATTTATAATTAACCTGTTTTAAATAAAAATACTGGTTTTTCTCTGTCCCATACCAGAGGGCTCTTTTGATTTGGGACACAAGAATCTCTAAATCTTTTCTTTTAGGAATATGTTTGGGTTTAGAGGAGTGAGCAAATTCCATCTCCAAAGCCAGCTTTTTTTTGGGAATTTGGGCGTAGCTTCTCTTACTACTTCCTGCTGGAGGGGAGCGCTGTATCTTATGGGGACACAAAGAAATTTTTAGGCTTATGGGGTAGTCCGTGAGGCTGTATTGTCTGAGCCTTGAAACGGTTCTGGATGTTGGATCATCTGGGCCATGGTGTCATCGGAGACCTTTCAGGGGGTCTTGGCTAGTCAAACCTGATGTATCTTAATCTGGAACAAATCCATAGCCTTGGACTTTCTGTGGAAACAAAAGCAGAGCCTCCTTTTCAAAGCAACATATCCTTAGATCCAAATTTTGAAGTCAGGGTACCTTTAAAATATACATACTGACTTAACTCAATAGCTCTTACAATCAAATGTTTTTCTGCAGTTAAAAATCCCAAAGACAACACAATCCAGATTCTCTGTGTAATATCTATCTTTACGTGGCTTATTTTTTATACTACCTTTACTGTCTCTTTAAAAATTTTGTTTATAAAAACTGTTCATGTAACTGCATATATTTCTTTTTCTCTCTTTCAAGCCTACGTACATTTTTACACACATTGTAAATCATTTAAAGTCTTGTTCCATTTGAATCTGTCTTATTGTGAATCTATTGGTTTTTTTTTTTTTTTTTTGGTTTTTCGAGACAGGGTTTCTCTGTGTAGCTTTGCGCCTTTCCTGGGACTCACTTGGTAGCCCAGGCTGGCCTCGAACTCACAGAGATCCGCCTGGCTCTGCCTCCCGAGTGCTGGGATTAAAGGCGTGCGCCACCACCGCCCGGCATGAATCTATTGTTTTAAACTGCAGCATTACTAGGGTTAAAATCGCAGCTTTGGCTGGTGGCTCCGCCCACCTCAGCTTCCCAACATTGTGGTGGTACAGTTTACCGCCAGCTCTGGGAGCCATCAACTTTTAGAAACAGTGGGTCTATGCTTCTATCGAAGCAGCGTGTAGCCCAGAAACCTCTTTTTTTTTTTTTTTGGTACTAGCAAAGACTAAATCCACCACACAGCATAATGTGCCGCTTGTAGAGCCTCATTCCCGCTCTACTGCTGGTCAAACGTGCACGCCAGGAACTTGCCATAGTAGCTCAAACCTAACTTGAGAGAGACAACTAGGAAGCTGTTTTTAGCTCCATTTTAGAATCTTTTTTCTCAGGTTTTAGGTGGAAACTCTTGCCAACCCGTTGGGTGCCATTTGTAGCTAGAGTTTTCCTGGTCCTGCCTGGCCCACGATCAGGACAAATCTCTCTCAGTAATTATGATCTGTTCAGACTTAAATTGGCTAATGAGAAAATAAGAATGATTTTGTGTTTTGTTTTGTTTTCTTTTTTTCGAGACAGGGTTTCTCTCTGTAGTTTTGGTGCCTGTCCTACCTAGATCTCGCTCTGTAGACCAGGCTGGCCTTGAACTCACAGAGATCCATCTGGCTCTGCCTCCTGAGTGCTGGGATGGCATGATTTTGTTTTTTTTTTAAGGAGTTGACTACATGTAAATTTTAGGGCCTTGATTATTTTGTATAAGTGTTTAAATTTATTCAGTTACTAAGTTCATAATTTCTGGTTAAGTGCTTATGACCATTAGTAATCCATGGGCAAAATCAAGCATAGTTGATGCTGAATGATTTCTCTATGTATTTTTTATATTTACTTCTTTGTGTATATGTAGGGGGGAAACATGGATGTCAGGAGGAGAACTTTCAGGAACCAGTTGTCTGCTGCCATGTGGGTACCCAGGGATTGAACTGGGGTTGACAAACCTGCTGAACTATCTGACCAGCCTCTTTACTTACTTTTAAATGGTGTCTTGTATTTATTGTGTATGCGTGTGTTTGTGTGTGTGTGCTCATACCTCTGTACCTTCATTCTCAAAGCTAGCTGGCCCACAACTTCTGGGTAGTCCTGTCTCTTGCTTCTCATCTCACTATAGAAGTACTGAACTCAAATGCTTGTGATGTGTCTGGGCTCAGAAAATAAAGTCTCTGTACATGTTAGAGGCTGATTTAAAAAAAAGTATCCTTTAAATTGAGTATTCATTACTTCTAGTGTGAGGTCTTTTGGCGTATACATCTCTTTGCATGGGTCAGTTGAAAGCTGGTAGTTGGACTGGGAGTGTAACTTGGTGTTGCCTCATACACACAAGGCCTTAGGTTTGATGCCCAGTGCTGAGGAATGTATACATTAAATAAAAATATTAAGAATTGAAGCTGAGGGGCTGGAGAGATGGCTCGGCAGTTAAGAGCACTGGCTGTTCTTCAAGAGGACCCAGGTTCAATTCCCACCACCCACATGGCAGCTCATAACTGTCTGTAACTCCAGTTTCCAGGGGATCCAACATCATCACACAGACTTACATGCAGGCAAAGCACCAATGCATATAAAATTAAAAATTTTTAAAAAGAATTAAAAACCTACAAAAAAAAAAAAAGAATTGAAGCTGAGAGATGGCTGAGCAGTTAAGAGCACTCACTGGCTGCTCTTTCAGAGCACCCAGGTTCTGTTCCAGTATTCATGTGGCTGCCAACAACAGCTTGTTCTGGCCTCTAGTAAGCATTGCATTCTTGTGATGCACACACATACATTCAGGCAAAGCACTCATATATATAAAAAATAAATAATCTTAAGAAATAAAATCTGATAACCAAATATTGTTAAAGTGAGTATGTGCATGCGTATGTGTTTAGCTTTTGTTTTAGCTTATACTGCCTTTCTTTGGCTATTTGTAACTGTAAGACTAGTTTATGGCAGGCTGAGGAACAGCAAGGGGCAAAATGGTGACTACTTTAAATTATTCCCAGGCTCCTTTTTCATAGTTTTGGTGACAATATTAATTATACCTTGCCTAAAAGAAGAATAAAGTCTTAAGTCTAAGAATACAGTTCCACCTTCTTTCATTATTGCCTGTTGAAAATTCCAAACAGCTATTCTTTCAAGTAGTGAGTCTGACACGAAGTTATGAAGGACTCTGTATTGCTGACTTGATCACTTAAAAAACTGCTTTTTTTTAAAAATTGTTTTTCATTATATCAATATAGTTGTTACAGTTGCCAAAATATAGCTATAAACCTTTCCCCAGTCTACCTCCATAACATAGAGTACTTCTTTACTTTTTCTTTGTGGACTTGGGAATTGAACACACTGTCCCACGCATGCTAAACATATGCTTTACCACTGACCTATGTCATTAACCTTTATATAATATTTTAACATTAAGAAAGTTGGATCATTGAATTTTATCCATAATCTCTGATGATCTAAAAAATGTGCAAATAGGAGGGTAATGATTTTTATAAAAATCACTTAAATTTGAGAAGCCTTTTTGTCTTAATGAAAAGCTAGAGTGGTCTGATTGTCCTAGAGGTTGGTCTGTTGTCTACTTTGTGAAAGTATGTGCTCTAATTCATTGTGTCAAACTTGTTTATAATATTGCTGTTGTGGTTTTGTTTAAAAACCTTAAAATCCTACTTTATATTATTTTCCACTAGGAAACCACCCCTACTACTAATCCCCCACCTGTGGAAGAGGAAAAAACAGAATCTAATCAGGAGGTTGCCAACCCAGAGCACTATATTAAACACCCTCTACAAAACAGGTAAGCTTTCTGACACAGGTAATAAGGGTGTGGTGCCCAGAAAAGTTAGATATGACTGGTTTTAGATATATACTCTCAGGTACCTGCCCACAGGGACTTTTGTTAAGGGGAAGGAATGCCTCTGGAGGATATAGTCATAAAGACAAGACAGAGTGGAGGGCCACAGGAACCAGGAACATGGCTTAGTCAAGGTTTCACAGTCTCTATTGGGTTGGACAATTAAAATAATCCTTGCTGACTTCAGGGAGGGTTTTTAGTAAAGTGTAGGTGAAGAAATGAGAAGTTGGGGCATTTGAAAAGTGTATAGGACCTACAGAGAGCAAGGATGGGCAACGAAGGCAGATTGAGAAGGGGAGAGGTGGGGGGTGTGACGATTAGAGGAGGTTGGTGTGGTGAGACAACAAGCTAGGAGAGGGGAACAAAGGTAGAAGATGGATGTGGTCCTTAGAAGGTTTTCTCGAGCTTCACCTAGACCTGCCAGTCGATGTCTGGTTTAGTTACTGCCTTTTCAGATTATGTAGAGAAAATCATTTTTACTTCACTGAGAACTGATGGTGGGAAGAACATGGAAACTCAAAATGTACATGAAATGTAAATGAACCTGGAGAAAAGTAAACTGGAACTGATTTCTGAGGGTCCAGTTTCTTCCTAGTTTCTATATGTTTGCCTGAGGCAGATTTTCTTTTACTGAATTTACTTTGAAAGCCTGCAGGCCTATTTGTAATTTATTGTTATATTTTTGTCCTTCATTGTCATATTGTTGACATACTAAAATGATAGTTAAAATGTAGCTGATAGACTTTTTTCCTAGGAGAGACCCTTTGATTTCAGTGTATCCCTCAGTGAGGAACATAATTAATTCTATATGATGGTGAGGATTGTCATTGTCTCTAAATGGTCTTTCCTTAATAAGGTGTCTTACGAGTAAAATAAGTTGAAGACTAGGGATGTAGCTCAGTAGTGGAGCGTGTGCCTAGCAAGTGTAAATCACTGGGTTTGGCACTCAGTTTTGTAAAAACAAACCATACATAAAAAGGATTCAACAGGACTTGATAAAATTCAGGGGACAGCAGAGCACCTAAATCCTTAGGTTCATTTTTGCCCTTTCCCTGGTATTTTATGAACTCCAATGCTAGGAGTTGGAGCTCAGTAGTTACAGGCTCAGGCTGCTCTTGCAGAGGACCCAGGTTGGCTTCACAGGACTCAGGTGGCAGTTCACAACCATCAGTAGCTCCAGTTTCAGGGGATCCAATCCCACCTTCAAGCGTCCATGGGCACCAGATATTCACATGATGCACAGACATACACTCAGGCAACACACGTGCATGCGCGTGTGTGCGCTTGCACACACACAACACGCAGAGAGCTAATTCTACCATTTTGTCGTCAGAACACAGTTATTAGTTGTGCTGTCATTATGGAGAGAGGTAATCCAGCACACCTTCAATACTCCAAAGAAATGTGAGATCATGGAAAAGTATAAACAGATTTACTCAATCCTCATGAGATCGCTAAAGAGATTTCAGTTTCTCTATAAGGTCTAATCTTTTTTTGTAAAGTATGCCATTTGGGAAAATACTGTAAAGTGCTTTTTGATACTTGAATCATTACTGACTTACCATAAATTTGGTAGTTTCTGTGTTTTCTTATAAACCCTTAACAATTACAGGATTTAATGATGAGTGGGGGACGGTGTATATAAAATAAGCGTGTTTGCTTTCTCTGGTAGTGTGTTTGCCTTCCTCCTCTTTGTTAGAGGTGCTGTATATGATCCAGAGCTCTGTGTGTACCCACCTGAGCATGAGTTGTTGTGACCACATGGGTGCCGGTCTGAGGTCGGAAGTGAGGTGTGCTTACTAAGTGTGTACTTCTCTTGAAGTTTCAGAACATTTCCATACTCTTTACCATCCATTCTGTGTTTTTACTTGGATCCTTTTTTTCCCTTTTGGATTATCTTTCAAGTTGATTTCTAGACATTCAAATAGTAGGGATATTGAATCAGTAAAATGCAGTTCCAGTTTACTTTTATTAGGTTCTCTGGAATTATATGTGATTTGATTTTAAAGGATTTTAATATTTATGTAGGCAAATATCATTTTCCCCGTGGCTTCTGTACTTTTTTTTTTTTTTTTTCCTTCAGTTTTTCAAGACAGGGTTTCTCTGTAGTTTTGGAACCTGTCCTGGAACTCAGTCTGTAATCAGGCTGGCCTCGAACTCACAGAAATCCACCTGTCTCTGCCTCCCAAGTGCTGGGATTAAAGGCATGCGCCACCACTGCCCAGCTTCCTCTGGATTTACTGTCAGTCTTAGTAAAACATTACCATGTAGTAATTTAAAAATAAGTATATGCTAATATCTTTATGATTATATCACTTTGTTTTCAAAAATTTCTCAAATGTTTGATCTTGTGACCCCTTTTCACTTAAAAAAAAAAATCATTGTTTTATGTATATGGGAGTGTGTTGCCTTCAAGTGTATGTACCATGTGCATGCAGTGCCTATGGAGGCCAGTGAACTACCATAGGGGTGCTGGGAACCAAACATGTTTCCTCTGCAAGTGCTATTTACCATTTAGCTTTCTCTCCAGCCCCTCCTTTTAAACTGTTTGTTTGCTGTTGTTGTTTTTCCAGACAGGGTTTTGTGTAGCCCTGGCTGTCCTGGAACTCTGTAGACCATGCTGGCTTCAAGCTCACAGAGATTCACTTGCCTCTACCTCCCTGCTGCTGGGATTAAAAGCGTGTACTAACACACCTGGCTTTTGATTTTTGTGTTCCCGTTTAACTATATTCTTACAGTAATGCTAAGACATGACATTGGAATCCATTGGCTTTTCTTATATTTGGAACAGATCCTTTACTTTTGTAAGATTCTTTTTTTTCTTTTTTTCTTTTTGGTTTTTCAAGACAGGGTTTCTCTGTGTAGCTTTGCACCTTTCCTGGATCTTACTCCGTAGACCAGGCTGGCCTCGAACTCACAAAAGATATGCCTGCCTCTGCCTCCCAAGTGCTGGGATTAAAGATGTGCACCACCACCGCCCAGCTTGTATGATTCTTGTAGCATGATTTTTTGGTTACTCTGAGAATAGTCCAGTGAATTATGCAGACCTTAAAAATGTGGACACATTTCATTTAAAGCATCAAATATCACCTCTAAACTTATCAGAAATGCCATTGTTTTGTGAAATTGTCAAGCTTAGTGCAACAGATGCAAGCTTTCCATAATTACAATTATTAACCTGAATATTCATAATTTTAAGTAATAGGCTTATTCTTTTTTTCCCCAAGAAATAAGTGTAGTTTATCGGTTTTTCAAGTGAAATTGGAAGAAAATATGGCTCATTTGTATCACCCTTCAAAACAGTATTCTGTTAAACAGTAGATGTGTTTTACATGTAGACTATGTAAAGGACATGTAAACAGGTAGGAATTTAGTGGGAAAGGTGCTTATACTGTAGCCCACCATAGTTTGGCACTCACTAGGCAGCCTAGGATTGCTTTCGGTGGTTCTCTGGCAGCCCATTGAGGTTTTGGAGTGGAGTTAGGTTTGAGCAACCATATGCAACTGAGATCATCAGTTTTGTAGGCTTGGCTGTACAGCTTCTGAGGCTGCAAGTCCCTTAACTTGAAAATATGCATTTCAGAGTGATCTCTAGATTATACTACCTCACATAGTGTAGACACTCTGAATGGTTTTTCACTTGTATCGTATAGGAAAGAATCCTGTTCAGAATGGGTGTAAGTGCTTTCTTCCAAATATTTTCTGAGGTTGCTTGAATCTGAAGATGTGAAACCTATGAGTACCGAGAGATGACGGTATTATATTTCAGAGTGTAAGAATTTATTACCATTCGAAACTACAATGTGAGCCACAGTCATCCTAGGGTCCCCCCTGCTATGTAGCCTCCCTGGTTCTGTGGGTTGCAGTCTGATTGTTCTTTGCTTTATATGTAGAATCCACTTTGGTTTTACTTATTTACTGGGCAAGCCTCAATGAAACAGTTCACCATTAGGATAAGAATTTATACTGTATCAAGCTGATAATAGAAAAATAAAAAAATAAATACAAAAATGGTTTTCTATTAAAAAAAGTAAAAAGTAAATATATAAAAAAAGAAACTACAGTGTGTGTGTGTGTGTGTGTGTGTGTGTGTGTGTGTGTGTGTGTGTGTAAGTAAGGCTTCTATAAACTATATATTAGGAATAAAACTTTTAGCCAGAAGTATACACAGCTATATAGAAATCATCATACATTGTTTCAAAGTATATCTGTAGATCAATTTACTCAGCTTATTTATTTTTTTTTAGTGTATTAGACTACAGCATCACATTTAATGTTTTTCCCCTTCTTTGTGCCCTCTTTTTCCTTTTAGCTAATTTCTACTGTCTTGTCCTTAAATAGTTGTGCTTTCTTAACTGCTGTCATATTATTTTGTATACTATAATTGTCTGTTTTGCAGAGAATCTGTTATGTAGTTGATATACAATGCTATTTACTTTTAATTGTGGGGCTGAGGATCAAACCTAGGCCCTGACATTTGCTAGTAAAGCACTATTTCCCCAGTTAAAATGTATACTTTTTATGTGAAAACTATTGTTTGCTTTGTAATAGAAACTGCCATTTTATATTCTTCTAAATGTATGTAATAAAGTACAAATAACAATTTATCTTACCTTTTAAAGTTTATTTATTTAAAATTTTAGATTTATTTTTACAAGTATGGGTGGGTGTTTGGCCTGCATGTATGATTGTATACCGTGTGTGTACAGTGTCTGGAGGCCATGTGGGTGCTGGGAATTAAACCTGCGCCACCACTGCCCGGCTTCCTCGTGGCTTCTGGATTTCCTGTCAGTCTTAGTAAAACATTACCATGTAGTTAGTTTAAAAATAAGTATATGCCGGGCGGTGGTGGCGCATGCCTTTAATCCCAGCACTCGGGAGGCAGAGCCAGGCGGATCTCTGTGAGTTCGAGGCCAGCCTGGGCTACCAAGTGAGTTCCAGGAAAGGCGCAAAGCTACACAGAGAAACCCTGTCTCGAAAAACCAAAAAAAAAAAAAAAAAATGTATATACTAATATCTTTATGATTAAATCACTTTGTTTTCAATAATTTCTCTGGGTCCTCTGAAAGAGTAGGCAGAGCTTTCAACCACTGAGCCACCTGACAAGCCCCTCTTAACCTTTTAAAACCTACAGCTTAGTAATTGGTTTGCATTCACCTATTTTCATCTTTAAAAAATGTATTTTAGCCGGGCGGTGGTGGCGCACACCTTTAATCCCAGCACTCAGGAGGCAGAGGCAGGTGGATCTCTGTGAGTTTGAGGCCAGCCTGGACTACCAAGTGAGTTCCAGGAAAGGCGCACAGCTACACAGAGAAACCCTGTCTTGAAAAACCAAAAAAAAAAAAAAATAAAAAATAAAAAATGTATTTTAGAGCCAGGCATGGTGGCTCATGCCTTTTGTCTTAGTATGGAGAAAGGCAGTGGTCTCTTGAGTTTAAGGCCAGCCTGGTCTACAAAGAGAATTTCAGAACAGCTAGGGCTACACAGAGAAGTCCTGTCTCAGACCTCCTTCACCCTCCCCATTGTATTGTATGAAATTATTTATTTTTGTGTATATATGTCTACATATGTAAAGATTTTCATGTGTCACAGCACAAATATGAGGTCACAGGACAAACCAAAACTGACTTTTACATGGGTTCAAGTTGTCCAAACTCAGTCACCAGGCTCCCACTGTAAGCGCGTTTGCTGCTGTGCTATTTCCTTAGCCCCTTTTCATCTTGTAAACTAAAACTAGTTACTTAAAGAAGTTGCCAGCACCATTCTGTCCAATCCTTGGCATGACTTTTGTTCTCCGAATCCGACAACCTTTTGATACCTCATGTAAGTGGGGCCATAGAGTAGTGTGTGTGTGTGTGTGTGTGTGTGTGTTGGGGGTAATATTATTTCACACAGTCCCATGTCCTTGGACTTCTTATTGTACTGAGTGTCACAATTTCCTCTTTAAGGCTTATTAGTTTTCCATTCTATGTCAGTACTACATTTTCCCGTGATTTTCTTACTGATGTACACTTTTACCTTTGACTGGTAAATAAATCTGTGAATATGAGTAAACAACTTTTTTATATGCTGGCTTTTTATTTTTAGGTGGGCACTCTGGTTTTTTAAAAATGATAAAAGCAAAACTTGGCAAGCAAACCTTCGATTGATCTCTAAGTTTGATACTGTTGAAGACTTTTGGGCGTAAGTAATTTTATTTTAAGTTGTATAATTTTTTTCATCTTACATCATTCACAAAATGAAAGATGAAGTTCATTTGTCTCCTCACAAATGTTTGAATTGGTGATTATGCTTTATTATACATTTTTTGGTAAATACAAAAGCCCTATGTTTGATGTCCAGCACCCCCACAAACAACAAAAAGGAAACAGGTTCATTATGGTTAGCTCTTGAGGTTTGCAGAATCTCTATTCTGCATCTTCCTGTGAGAATCCTCTTTTATTGCCTTGGAATTTTGACATTTTTGGAATTTGTTCCACTGTGCAGTCACCTAGATGTATTTGTGTCATAACTGGGTACTAGAGAGCCTTCTCTCTGCAAACAGTTTTCAGTACAATAGCTGGAATTCTTCTGCTCAGGTGTCAAAAGGTGAAGTGATTAAAATTCAGAGACATGTCAAGAATGATGGTGTCTCTGATGGTAGTTCATCAATTTTATTGTAATTTGTAAAGGAAAGAGTAACTGAATTTATTTTAAGTTTAGTTTGCAGTTTAGGAAAAAGTTGACTTGGAATCATAAACTTTTATAAGATTTAAAAATGGAATATGGAATATAAACTGCAAGTCTTTTTTGAAAAGTGTGTGTTTGTTTGAGACAGGATGTAGCTGAGTTGTTGAGGATGTCCTAGCATTGTAAAACTTGCCTTTAACTCCCAAGGCATAGCAGACATACACCACCCATGCCTTAGAAGCTTTGAAATCGATTGTTTTCTGAGGATCAAATTCAGAACCTTAAATATGATAGGCAAGTGCTGTACCATTGAGCTGCATTCCAGCTCCTCCAAAGTTAGTCTTGATTTCCTTGGATAATATATAGGGAAATAGTATTTGAGAATATGAAAGGCAAAATTTTAGAGAGCCTTGAGTTACCTCGAAGTTAACTAGTCTGTATATTTATGTTTGGTTTATATACATGCTGAATTTAGTGATTCTTAACATTTTTATGTAAGTCCCTAAGTCTGTTTGCTCACACAAAAGAATGGATTGTAGTCATATAATTCATAGCTGTATGTTTTTTCAAGGGCACAGTCAATTTTCAGTGTATTTCTAATGCTTGGCCTATAATAGACATTTGATATACATTGCATCATTGAAAAAGGCAAAGTATAGAATAAATAAAACTGTTGAATTCACTTTTTTTTACTAAGAACATTCTGATATTTTCTTTTTTATGATACAAGTATATTTAACTTTTGCTAATTAATAGAGGTAGTTGTCTAGTTAATTGGAGTTATTGAAATCATCAAATGGTTTTTATACTCTAATTGTGTTTACTCCAAGACTCTTGAGTAACTGTGAAGCCTTTGCACACACAAAAAGAAGCTCTAGTTTCCTACTAAGGAAAAGAAGGGTCTTGAACCCCACCTTCAGTCACATTTGCACTCAATGTGGAGTGTTCGGCTTTTAAGTTTATATAATTGTGTTTCTACCTTGTCCTCTAGTTAGTGTAAGCGAAATCATTGGGTACTGTAACTGAGAGACTGGAAAGAATCCTTTTCTTTTTGTACATATTAGGCTACTTCTTTATTTCTTGTTCCTTTCTAGCAGATTTTGTATGAACAATACTTTAGTCCATTTGGTTTAATCTAGTCTATGTAATCTTAAGACTCTTGGGGTTGTGGTTTGGGAATAGTGAACCATTAGATACCTTGTTCATAATAATATCTTATTCAAGCCAGATTATACTGTATAATGTGATAAGAAAGAATTTTTTCTTAAAATTATCTGAAATATTCCTAGACAAAGTTAAAGTCAGAACAGGAGAAGATGCCTCATATAATACCATTGAAGGTTTGCAGACGTGTAGCTAAGATAATCTCTGCAGTCTGATGTTGGAGATAGGCAAATACTGTTACCAATGTTTAAATCAGTTTTACTCTACAAGAGATAAGTGATAATGGTCTTCTACCTTCAGACATTGAATATCAAACATCTCAAATACTGTTCCATGGCTTAAGTATTTGGGAAATAGCTCAGAAATACAGGTCCAATTGTTGTTATATGGCTGTGAGCCTGGTATGTGTCCGAGGTCCCCCAACATGCATGTGCTGACTGGTCTGGAACCATTTTTGGAGTTGGAGAACCACTGTTGTGTTTACATACAGTTGGACACTTGCTGGGGTGATAATGTTGATTGAACCATGCAGTCTGGTGGTTTATTTTCATTTTCTTAAATACAGATGTATGAAATAACATGTATTAAATATTTTTGTTAGAATAGAATAAAGTCATTTGAGATAGTTCTTTGTAGTAATTTACATTATAAATTTCTTTGAATGTAATCATTATTTAGACCTGTTTTGTCCATTTCAGAAATTAGAGTAAAAAAAGAAAAACAAATATACATGAACTTCTATGTTTTTTCAAATTTTCCAAATGTGTGTGTGTGTGTGTGTGTGTGTGTGTGTGTGTGTGTGTGTGTGTGTGTGTATGTATGTAAGCACCCAAATCCTGCATTACATATTATGTTTTTAATTATTATTTTCTTTTACCTAGTCTATACAACCATATCCAGTTGTCTAGTAATTTAATGCCTGGCTGTGACTACTCACTTTTTAAGGTATGCCTAATCAACAATTGTTTATATTTATTACAGGACCAGACCATTCAGGTATTTGTAAAAACTGGCCATAAATTCAGGCAGTTGGCTTTACCAGGCTTGAGTACAGTATTCTGGTGTGACTTAGTTACTCATGGGCACATCCTGGGATTGACTTTGAGCCTTGCTAGTCCTGTGCGGCCCTTCCTGGGTATACTTGAGCAGACTGACTTTGTCAGCTACTTTTAAACCCATGAGATATTTATAAACAGACCTAGGTGCTAGGATAGGACATTCATTGGCTCATATGAAATAATTTTTTTTTTTTTTTTTTTTGGTTTTTCGAGACAGGGTTTCTCTGTGTAGCTTTGCGCCTTTCCTGGGACTCACTTGGTAGCCCAGGCTGGCCTCGAACTCACAGAGATCCGCCTGGCTCTGCCTCCCGAGTGCTGGGATTAAAGGCGTGCGCCACCACCGCCCGGCTGAAATAATTTTTAATGTAGCTTCTAAAAGGTGTCTGCTTCTGAGGATTTTAAGACTCCTCAGATGAAGTCGAACCTGGAGATTTGGTAGTTAGTGATGCAGTGGTTCTCTTCCGTAGTCGCATGCCTCTGGCACGTAATTCCTGTGAACTTTGAAAGGCTGTACCAACGGCAGGGGTGTAGGGAATAAAGGAAAGTTGTCAGTGCTGTTGCTTGAGGGTTCTAATTGTGCTCTTACTTTGTAGGATGGTATTGAGCCGATGTGGGAAGATGAGAAAAACAAGCGGGGAGGACGATGGCTAATTACATTGAACAAACAGCAGAGACGAAGTGACCTCGATCGCTTTTGGCTAGAGACAGTAAGGCTTTCAAATTATAGACCAGCTTTGGGATGTTATTTTCTTTGGCTTGTTCAGGCTACCTGTTCTAGAAAAGTCCTTGTGGTGCTCACATGGCATTGTATATGCTAAAATCGGAACAAAATAGAAATTAGTATGGTCCTTGTGCAAGGATGACATGCAAATTCCTGAAGCATTTTATGTTTTTTTGGATGCATATGGAAAGTAATGTGTTAAGCAAAATAAGCCAAACTTGGAAAGAAAATTCTGGCATGTTTTCTCTCATATGTGGAACTTAGGTTTAAAATACATATGTGTGTGTGTTTTTTTTTTAATAATGTGTGTTTGTAGATCATGAAACTACTAACCAGACCTAATGAGGTGGGAAATAGGACAGTGAATAGATGTAATGGGAAAGTACAAGGATGGACTAAATGGGAGAGGGTGGGGAGTGGAAATGAGAACAGTGTGATGACACAGTGTGAAGGTGCCATGGTAAAACCCACTACCTTTTAGACTAATACAAAAATACCTATAAAATAAAAGTACGTCAAGGAAAATGAAAGGAAGTTCTTAGGTGTTGTGCCTAGGTGTGACCTTTCCTGCTGAATAATAATCACCAACCCTTGCTCTCTAAAGGTAATGTTTGACTACATAGCTGTTCTACTGTCTCCAACCTTTGAATGCTGTAGTTCTAGAAGCTGTAGTTCTAGAAGCATTGTGCTGTTGGGCAAAGACTTTTTTTTCTATCATGTGAATATCATATACAAGTGAGTCCCATGAATGATTTTTATTATTCTATAAGTCAGATAAAAAGTGATTGACATTAACTCCATCTTCTACAATCAGCTGTACTAACAAATCTGATCAGATAGATGGATATTAATGAGATCACTTTTGTGTGTGCCCAAAAAAGTTTGCAGAAAAAGTTAAAACATTTGAAGTTTTTTTTTTTAAGCCAAGGCAAAAAAAACAATATGAGTAAAATTCAAACATTTTAAAAGTCAGTTCTCTTTTTCTTTTTCTTTTTTTTTCCTGGAGCTGAGGACTGAACCTAGGGCCTTGTTCTTGCTAGGCAAGCACTCTACCACTGAGCTCAATCCTCAACCCCAAAAGTCAGTTGTTGAGTTGGTCTGTGGCTCCACAGTCCAGAGTGCTTGCTGCCAAGTCTAACAACTTGAGTTCAATTCCCAGGACTTACATGGTGGAAGGAGGAAACCTTAACTACTGCAGATTGTCCTCTTCCTTCCATTGGTTTGCCATGGCATGCATGTCCTGTCTTCATCCCCAACAAAACAGCAAAGAATCAGTTCTTTTTATTTTCTATCAGCTTTGGTTTTTGTCTCTAGCTCAAGATGACTTCAGACTATCAATGCTGCCTCTGCCCGACCAGTTTAAGAAGTCAACTCTTGATTTAAAGTAGTTTTACAACTGTACATCTAGAAAAGAGACCTTTGCTTTCTTGTACGATGTTGATGATGTGTTTAACGTAATTTGGACTTTTTTTTTTCTTTAGCTGCTGTGCCTTATTGGAGAATCTTTTGATGACTACAGCGATGATGTATGTGGAGCTGTTGTTAATGTTAGAGCTAAAGGTGATAAGATAGCAATATGGACTACTGAATGTGAAAACAGAGACGCAGTCACACACATAGGGTGCGTTTGCTCCACCTACCTACTTCTTTGACAGTATTGAGTTCGTGTGTGTCGTCCCCCCCCCCCCCCCAATATCAGTTTTGCTAGAATTCTCTTTGGTTATATGTAAAAAGAATCAAGTTTGATTCTAAGTGGGATTTATAAGAAGGAGATTCATTGTTGAATTGTCATTTCTCATCTTTTAGTATCAGTATTTGCTTATAGGAACATTGTATTTCTTGAAAAACAGAAATTAATGAGTTTGTTAAAGGTGTTTTATTATGTCTCAGTTTTAGAGGTTTTGGAATTGAAAACATTTAGCCTTAGTTTCTCTCTCTCCCTCTCTCTCTCTCCCCCTTCCCCCCTTCCCCCCTCTCCCCCCTTCCCCCTCTTCCCCCCTCTCCCCCCCTCTCCTCTTTCTCCTCCCTCTCCTCTCTCTCCTCTCTCTCTTTCTTTTTGGAGCTAAGGACCGAACCCAGGGCCTTGCGCTTACTAGGCAAGCGCTCTACCACTGAGCTAAATCCCCAACCCCTAGCCTCAGTTTTTCAAGGAATTTCTTTTTTGTTTATTTTGTTTTTCCCAACAGGGTTTCTCTGTAGCTCTAGAACTGGAACTCACTTCGTAGACCAGGCTGACTTTGAACTCACAGAGATCTATCTGCCTCTGCCTCCCAAGCGCTGAGATTAAAGGTGTGCATCACTGAGGCCCAGCTGAAAATAGTTTTTTTATGCTTTCAGTTGGGATAACTTCAACTACTTGTTGCTTTCTTTCTTTCTCTTTCTTTCTTTCTTTCTTTCTTCCTTCCTTCCTTCCTTCCTTCCTTCCTTCCTTCCTTCCTTTCTCTTTTTTTTGTAAATGCATATTTAATGGTAAAGTGTATATTAAGAAACTGTTACAATATCTTCTCATACTAGTTGCCAAATTAGTTATTTAAAAAAAAAAACCTATTTAGAAGAATTTTAATTAATTTCTCTTAATACTGCAGATTAGATCCTCTGATTTATATTGCTCATACTCATATACTTAATGCTATTTAGTACACACAACATTATGTTCTTAAAGTAATCACAGTGAATTTGAAAATTAGGTTGTGAAGTTATTTGTACATAGGCAGAATAGAATTCATATGTAAGAAATTCTCTCTCTCTTTAATCTCATGGATGCTGGGATTCCAGGCTTATGACACTACACCTTGGTTTTAACCTTTTAGATAGAGGAATGAAAGGAAATGTGTGCATATTATTTATTATTTTTAAATAAGTGAAATATATGTGTGATTATTTCATCATAGGTATTTATGGCTATAGATTTGTAAACTACCAGTGCTGTGAGCTCATAGACTGATCCTACTTTGTTAATTTTGCTAGTTATGCTGAAAGAAAATGAATATTTTGCTTTACTTCCTGTGAGCATTTTTTTTTTTTTTTTTTTTTTTTTTTTGGTTTTTCGAGACAGGGTTTCTCTGTGTAGCTTTGCGCCTTTCCTGGAACTCGCTTTGGAGACCAGGCTGGCCTCGAACTCACAGAGATCCGCCTGGCTCTGCCTCCCGAGTGCTGGGATTAAAGGCGTGCGCCACCACCGCCCGGCCCTGTGAGCATTTTTTATGTAAAGACTAATATATGAATTTATCAAATACTTTTTTAAAAACTTTTTTGAAGACGAATTAATGGTCCTTGTTTTCTTTGTCTTTTAGGAGGGTATACAAGGAAAGGTTAGGACTTCCTCCAAAGATAGTGATTGGTTATCAGTCCCACGCAGACACAGCTACGAAGAGCGGCTCCACCACTAAAAATAGGTTTGTTGTTTAAGAAGACACCTGAGTGTTCTCACAGGAGACTGCGTCACGCAATCGAGATTGGGAGCTGAACCAAAGCCTCATCCAAGCAGAGTGGACTGCACTGAAGTTTGATTCCATCTAAATGTTGCTAAGATATAAGAGAAGTCTCATTCGCCTTTGTCTTGTACCTCTGTGTTCATTTCTCCCCCTCCCCCTGCCCCCAATTTTTGCTAATATGTCCACTATCCCAATCAAAGAATTACAGTATACGTCCCCCCAGAACCCGCAGATGTGTTCCTGGCCCACACCATAACAGCTGGTTGGAATCACCATGACACACACATTTGCCTTTCCACAGTATTTGAAAAAGGACTTGCATTTCTGTTACCTTAGCAGGGAAAGATCTGCTTCTGTTCCACTCCGTGCAGGAGCGTGTTTTGCTGGTGAGAGTCTGAGTACAGTTTTCTAGCAACCTCGTTTCCTTTCCCAGCATTCTCCTTGCTGTCCTCTTGCTGATGGCTGCTAGAGTTTAATTTATTTGCTTCCCTCCTTGATAACATTAGTGATTCTGATTTCAGTTTTTCATTTGTTTTGCTTTTGTTTTTTTCTTCATGTAACATTGGTGAAGGATCCAGGAATATGACAGAAAGGTGGAATAAACATTAAATTTGTGCATTCTTTGGTAATTTTTTGTTTTTTTGTAACCACAAAGCTTTGCTACAAATTTATGCATTTCATTCAAATCAGTGATCTATGTCTGTGTGATCCCTAAACATAATTGTGGACTATAAAAATGTAACACCATAATTACATTCCTAACTAGAATTAGTATGTCTGCTTTTGTATCTTTATGCTGTACTTTAACACTTTGTATTACTTAGGTTATTTTGCTTTGGTTACAAATGGCTCAAGTAGAAAAGCGGTCCCATTCATATTAAGACAGTGTACAAAACTGTAAATAAAATGTGTACAGTGAATTGTCTTTTAGACAACTAGAGTTGTCCTTTTATTTCTCCATCTCTGTAGAAAGAATCTGTACTTGTATTGCAAGGCAGTCTCTTGTGTCTCCTTATAGTGTCTTCCCTATGCACAGCCCAAGTTTGGAGCACTAGTTTACTATTATGTTCATTACAATTTTTAATAAATTGAATAGGTAGTATCACATATGTAATTAAACTGATGTGGCTATCTTTTTTAATAAAGTTAAGGCACAGTTTTTCAGTCTTAGGTTAAATAATGTACTTTGAATATGTTAAAATTCATGAGAATTGGGATTTTGGTGTATCACCATTTGATAGGAACAGTGGCTATAAAAGTAATTGTTGACTTTGAGATGTTTTTACTTAAAGGCCAGAAAACTAGCATAAGGAGAGTATAGGGGAACATGTGTTAGGATTCTTAGTGTTATTATCTGAATAAAACAGAATAAACAAGTATTAAGAACTATTTATATTGGTCAATTGTTGCAGTATGGTTTTCTGTAAACTTGAAACCTTGATCTATTCTTTTCTTGTATCATTTTAAAGTAAATGAAGATATTTTGTCTGTAGTACACAACTGTATAGTTGAGATCCTATGAAATGAGGTGTGACTATTGTAGACCAAGGAGTAAACCGAACTGTGGTAGTAGCAGAATGGAAATCACTAGTTGAGAGGAAAATGTCTTTAAGTGGTAATTATTATGAATTCATCCTTTCACACTGATAAACTTGATAAAGATCCTCTAAAATAAATACGGAATCAATAGCATTGCATTTATTACAGACTTTTAAGATGTCCCACAGTTGCCAACTGCCTGCTCTCGGTGTCGCAAACAATCCCTATTCAGTGTTCTAGAAATATCGATGTTTATAATCTCAGCATTCTCTACCTAATGTCTACTATGTAAGTGTAGGTGATTCAGAGATGTTCCATCTTTTGACATTGCAGCATCATGTGGTTTGTGTTGGGCTGCATTCATAGCCATCTATCTCCTGAGTGTGAGGCCCAGGTTGGATACCTGAAACTGATGTATATAATGTATAGTAATGAAAGTGCTGGTGATGAGACTTGGTTACCAACAAATAGGATTCGAATAGTTGTATTTATTAGAGATGAATGCTCATATTCCTTTAATTCTAGAGTATAGTTCAATTGGTTTTTCTTTTTCTTTTTGGTTTTTCGAGTTGGGGTTTCTCTGTGTAACAGTCCTGGCTGTCCTGAAACTCTTTGTAGACTAGGCTGGCCTCGAGCTCACTGAGATCCGCCTGCCTCTGCCCCCAAAGTGCTGGGATTAAAGGCATGCGCTACCACTGCCTGGCTGAGTATAGTTCAATTGTAGAAAGTATCAACTTTAAGAAGTGGAGAAAGAATCATAAAATATAGTTTCAAATGTAAAAACATTTAATAGAATGTATTTTTGTAATAGAAAATTGAAATGATTTCTAATGGATGAATAATTGTAATATAGTTGGTCTTTCTTGTCAGATTTTCTTTGGGACTGCCAGCTCCCCAGTAATGACATAGAGACTTCTTATTAATTATGAAAGCTTGGCCTTTAGTTTAGGCCTGGGCCCAACTAGCTCTTATAACTTAAATTAACCTGTTTCTGTTAATTACGTTCTTCATGTGGTTTTTTACCCCCTCCATTTTGTGTGTCCGACTCCCTCTGTGTCTTGCTGGTGTCTACTACATGCCTAGATTCTAACCCTGAGTTCCTCCCTCCCTGGAAGTTCCACCTATTCTCTCCTGCTTAGCTGTTGTCCATTCAGCTCTTTATTAAGCCAATTAGAAGCTGCCTTAGGCAGAGACACATCATTACAATATACAAAAAGATTATCCCACAACATTGTAATGGATAAATTAATTCTACAGAAGGAGTTAGTGTGCACTCTGCAGGAATTAAATAACGACAACACTCACAGTACTGATGGTTAGGCAGTGTTCTAGTCACCTCACGGGCACATTGGCTGCATAGTATATGTAAGTATCACTTCTCCATTTTACAAAGGAAGAAACGTTTAATTTAATATTAAAGTTTTTGTTAGTTGTAAAGTGCATTTGAGTCCTAGAATTTGCTTTTAGGAGCCCTTAATCACATACTCAGAAGAGGAAAAGATCTAATAGGCTGTAGTAAGTTACCTCAGTTTTATTCCGCTGGTAAGCTAGGCATATAAACGTTTCTCCATTTTACTGCCTTTGGTAATGAAGCTAATAGATTGTTTTGTTTTGTTTTGAAAGACTGTGTCTGTTAACCAGCTGAGTTAATCACAAATGACCATGGCGGAAGTTACAGGAGTTAAAGTGTAAATGAATGTTTTTATTGGTGCTCTAAGTCATTGTCTGAGATACATGGCAAAGTATTCAAATTGGTAGGAGTCGAAGTTCTTGAATGCTGGTTAAATTAGTAAATGGCCTAGCATTGCAGGTGCATTCCTATAATCACAGTGCTGAGACAGAATGACCACAAGTTTGAGGCCAGCCTGGGTTACATAGACCTTTTTTCCAAAAGATAATGGCTAGGAACGTGCCTCCTTGTTGGAGTGCTTGCCAAGCATGTGCTAGGTCCTGTGTGTGATTGCCAGCACTGTCAGAAGAAAGATGATGAGCAGAGTGTTGAGTCTGTGCTAATGTCTATCTCGTTTCTCACAGACTGTCTTCAGTATTAAGTAATGTAGGGAAGAAGGCAGCTAATCCCTACATTACTTAGTTCTCCTTTGGCACTAATCCTCTATACAGAGTCAGAATGCAGGTCAGATTGGTGACTTCAACATGAAATACTAGCCACTCCTTGGGAACGAGTGTAGAAATTTTGAGTATCTAAAACCTTGCCCAGGATTTTATGTTGTAACCGTAAAGTGTGTGATCATTTCCCACTAATATAAAACAGTATATGTTTCACAGGATCATGTTTGACAGTCTGGGAGGTTAAGTCTTGGCCCTCACAGAGGGCCCTTGGAAGGCCACTGCTGTGCATTCCCTGGCACTTGCCACCCTCTAATCCTAAGGCAGCCTGTGGTGTGTGTCATAGCACCTTACAGCTAGTGGATTGGGTGTAAAGTTTGGGTTCTGTTGTACAGCATATTAAAGCACTGTTGTATCCTGCTTATTGTGAATTCCAAGTCAATACATCAGCCTCTTGCTAGCCAGGGCACAGCTGTAGACTTGGAGATCCTTGTGATTGGTCCACTGGTGCAAGTAGTCATGTGAAGGTGGCATGCATGTGATGACGTGCAAAAGGGGTGAATTTGAACTTTTTCATTTTGTCTTTTCTGACCTTGGAACTCCTCAGAAGTTTTGTACAATTCACTTGTCTGTTACTTTCCTGTCAGAACCCATGCACTAGAACAGGGTGTGCTAGGCCACTATTGTAAAGACAGTTTTAAAGCACTTTCAAAATAGATGAGAGTCTCCATTAAGTTCTCCAAATAACTTTTATTGAAATTGAAGAGGTTTTTTGTTTTTGTTTTTTTAAAAACAGGGCAGTTGTGGCACATGCCGTTAATCCCGGCACTGGGAGGCAGAGGTATCTCTGTGAGTTAAAGGCCAGCCTGGTCTACAGAGCTAATTCTAGGATGGTCAAGGCTATACAAAGAAACCCTGTCTTGAAAAAACAAAGCAAGCAAAAGACCTGGTTGTCTTGGAGAACCTCATATCCAACATTGAGTCTTCTAAGTGAGTCCCACTGTGGGAAGGTCCCAGCAAGCCAGGACGTAGGAATGCCAGGTTGCAACTCGGTGTTTTTTTTAAAAGATGTGTATGGGCACTTTGTCTCTGGTATGCATGTGTACCACACTCTGTGTGTGTGTGTGTGTGTGTGTGTGTGTGTGTGTGTGTGTGTGTGTGTGTGTGTGTGTGTGTGTGTGATACGTGTGATGCCTGAGGTGGTCAGCAGAGTGCATCTAATGCCCTGGAATTGGAGTTCTGGACAGTTGTGAACCACTGTGAATGCTGGGGACCCACTGGGTCTTCTGCAAGAACAGTTAAGTGCTATTGCCTGCTGGGCCATCACTTCAGCCCATGGCTCTTGTTTGATTAGGTGACAGTATTTGATTTAAGAAACAAAAAACTTGTAGTAATTTTCATTGTAATATTGCATTGATGTGTGTTTTGAAGGTAGCAGGTCTTTCTCTTGTCCCCAATTCCAAATACTGAACTCTGATTTTTAGTGTTTGACAAAACATGCCCACTTTTCTTTTCCTTACAGAAGGTAGGAGATATGTCCTGTGTGCCTTAATTTGCTCATTCCAAGGCATTTCTTGACTTTGTTGTAAGTACCAGATTTTTCTGTGCCATACACTAGATGTATGTATGTTTACATGTGGGCATTATTTCTTTTGGACATGAACCATCTTACTAAAATTATTTCATAATCTTGGACTCTTGGTACACATGGAAAGCAATATTTTTGTTTGCCCTGGTGTTAGTTTGAATTTATCTTTTAGTGCTGTGCTCCCTGTCTCTGCAGACCTTCACAAAGTTGTATCTTTATATAAGGAAGATAATTTACTTTGCTTCAGTAGTACTAATTACAGTTTTTTCTCTCTGTTACCCGTACCATGCTAGTCCTCACTTACGAACCTTCATCTGTCATGGGGTGTATGTCCCCCCCCAATGTATGTGTATACATTTATACCCTATGTTACCCTAAGCATGGCTGTGCCATGATTGATGAGAATATGCATTATTTAGGAGTTCTTGGGTCATTCCTTGTATTTTCAAGGCTCTCTGGTCCAGATGGCAGTAAATATTGGTATCAGTGGTTCTGCCTGGCAACCCATTTGTAAAAACTAAAATTCTATCTTGGAATGAAACTTATAAACGATAGTACTTGCATAAGCCTGGTTTTGTTTGTGGGTTTTCTTTCTTTTCCCTTTTTGAGCTAGGTTCTACATGGCCCAGAATGGCATTGAACTGATCCTCTTGCCTGGGCCTCCCGGGTGTTGGGATTACAAGTGTGTCCTAGCACACCTGCCTTACCTAGTCTCAATTTGCACAAAATTGTCATAAAACTCTTCTCACAGAGGCTGGGATTAAAGACACGTACTACTATGCCCAGCCTTACCTGCTTTATTTATTTTATTTTATTTTATTTTTTTGGTAAAGGGGGAAAAGATTCCCTGATTGAGAAATAGGATAGAATAATAGGGCTTTAATTAAAATTTTTAGCTCTGGCAAGTACACATGGAGTCACCTAGTAATTGGAGTATGCCTGCTGCCTGTGCCATCGTGACAACTGTTGAATTTAGCTACTCTGAAATGGTGAAGGGCACTTAGAACTTGTGCAGTGATCTCTATCCTCATTTTACATATGATATTGCTGGAAATTTCGGGGTACAGATTGTGCAGAAAAGACTTGTGTGTGTATGATCCCAGCACTGAAGAGGCTGAGGCAAGAGGATTGACATTTCTAGACCAGTCTGTGCTACATAGTTAGTGTCCGTCTGAAAACTGGGAGTTTAGGTTCAGATTCTATAAAAGCTACCTATGTCCTACATTTCTGGAAATGACTTGAATGTCATTTGTCCTTTTCCCATTGAATCTGTATGGATTGTCATTCCTGAAAGTTAGAGAATTAGTCTATCAGTGACTGCTCTTAAGTTAATTGGAATCACCACTGGACCTGTGCTTTTAAGAGTTTAACATGTACACCAGTCACACGGCTTCTTTGACTCAAGCCTGTTATTCGTTCTAAGGTGTCACCAGGTAGGTGATTTACGAAGCAATCCTTAGGATCCAGGTATTGCTTTTGGAAACAGTGCTAGGCAGTA